GAGCACTTACCAACTTCGTCTCTAGCGGCACGGTGGCGAATAGCTGTCAGGCCGGCGCCTTCTACAAGCAGCCTCTTTTTCAAGAAGCTGTCCCCCTCCCCCATAACCCCTTCTGCGCGCCGCTAACATTAGGAATCAGCGGCAACGGTAGGGGGAGACTGGCCCGGTGTGTGGGGGAAGCGTCGATCTGAAATCAACGATAATTAGCCGATAGATCGGGGTTGGGCCCCGACAGCAAATCAGCCTGCTCCTGAGCGGGGTGGGCCATCAGCCGATGATCCTCAGGGCGCGCGTTGGCCCAAGATGTGTTTTCCCTCATTCAGCTCCGCCGAGAACGCGCAGCCGACGTCGGCCCTCATTACAATGCATGGGTCGTGCTGAAAGGCGTCGGTGGACAAGCACACTTGGCGCTGACACGCGTTCTGCGGATCGTTTAAGCAGGCACCTATCGGCAATTTTACTTCCCAGGAGCCTCCGATTATTTTTCTCGACGTTCCCGCGCTCGTTCTTGCAATATGGCAGTTGTTTGACGTGTTGTTCCGCATCGTGTTGACGACGCTAGCGATGATGCAGAGAATAATGATTTCGATGGCGATGCCGGTGATACGACTGACGATGATATCGGTGACGATGGCGATGCTAACGAGATTCATGCCGATAACAAGAGAATAGTTTTCTCTCCAGAGCTTGCGAGCGTTGGTCGGAACGCTCAGCGGAGTGCCAGATGCTCTACGTCGCAGATGCTCTACGTCGGCGGGCGAGGGTTAGCGCACCCGCCTCCGAGCGATGCGGAAGGCAGGCTGCGCCTGCCTCGCCTTGTGGCGCAGCACAGAAGAGTTGCTCCTTCCCTGTAGCGACCGCCGCGTCATTCTTGGGGGGAACAGGCTCCCCAAAGCTCTACTCCAGATTTCGTAATAAAGGGAGGGGGGTCTCATTTCGGGGGGGGTCTCTTCCAGGCTATCTTGGAGGGCCTGGGGGGGTCTGGGGACGGTGTTTTGGAGGGTTCTCCCACGGGGTGGGGTCTGAAATGGCTTGTCTTGGAGGATCCAGACCCCCTCCCTTTTATTACGAATTCTGGAGTGAGTTTGACCGTTGGAGTTTCCGGAGGGTGAGCGGCGCCTGGTCCAACCGCCGAGGGGCTCCGCTCACATCAGGCGTCTCCGAGGCCGCGATCCTTTTGCAAACAAAAAGTCTGGACCCGCGCCCCCCCCCCCCCCCTAAAACGACGCGAAGATCGGGACAAAATCGGATCGGGATAACTCGAAATCTCTGAGAATCGGCGGGTTTGGAGGATGTATTGGGCGCCGCGGCCGCTCCAGAGCGTTCCGGAACGCTCTGAGAGCGCTCCGGAACGCTCTGGAGCGATTTATCCCGATCCTAGCCCTGTTTTAGCATGCAGAGTACGCGATGTTCGATGTCAGTGCCGCCTTCCCGACGCTTCGGCACGCGACGCTCTTGTGGGCCTCAAGGCCGGGATGGTGGGTTCGCCGTATGGTTGAGCATGGGTGCCCTTCTATCGGCCTCCTTGCCTGTGCACTGCATGGGCCCCTTTGGTCAGAGTGCTGGAGTGCATTCTTTTCCGCTCGTCCTCCTGTCTTGGGAGCCTGTGTTGACGAGATCAACATGCTTGCCCAGAACGTATACCGAGCACTTGCGCCTGCTTCTCCCCGCTTTTTGGGGGGCCACATGCGACTAATTAACCCGAGTAAGCGATTAAGGACCCCCCCCCCCCTCTCCGGTGAAAGGATAACGCACCCGGCACCCGGAAGCGTTATCCTGGCACCAGGAGGGGGTACACCAGATCGCACGGGTCCCACGGAGTCCCGCAGGTCTCGCAGGTCCCAGCTTTTCCCAGCTTTTTCTTAGCTTTTCTAAGCTTTTCCTTAGCTTTTCTCAGCTTTTCCTTATTCGTATTCGTATTCTTATTCTCATTACAATTCTAATTGGGATGCCACCCGAGGCGGGGCGCTGGAATTATTTATTTTCCTTCCATTTGCGCGGTGCTAATAATATCGCCCGGCGAAAACCCCCCCAAATGATTATTTAATTACGGCGCGGTGCTAATGATAACGCCGGGGGGGTCCTTAATTGCTTCTCCGGGTTAGCCCCCACGATTTCCGAGGGGGGATGGGGGGGTGGGGTTCACTTCGTTCGGGAGTTTCCGAGCGAAGTGAACCCCCCCCTCCCCCCCTTCAGGAATCGTGGGGGGTAGGGGTAGGGTTCGCATGTGGTCCCCTAGTTTTTCAGTGCGTCGCCGATGCAGCTGGCTTGGAGCGTCGCGCGCGAGCGAGACTTTAAGGGTACCACTGGCGCAGCCTGCCTCGGAGAAACGCCTCAGCACAGCTTCGCGCCGCAGAACCTTCCCGAAAAGCTGGTGCTTGTTACGAACACGAAGCTTAAGTCGGGCGTGTCCCCCTACAGAAGGAATATTCAAAATAGTTAAAGATAGTATCGGGACGATTTGTTGACTGTTTTGGAGTATTTGTTTTTTATGTTTGAGCATTCCTCCCAGTTCCGCCTGTAGGTGGACACGCCCGACATAACACCAAGTACTTGGGCATCAGGAGTTCTGGGTGGCTCCTAACCGAAAGTGTCTTGGGCGGGCTAGGGGCACCAAAGCTCTTTGGCTGGGGCTCTCCAAAAGTCTGCGCATGCTCGACCAGAAAGCGTTCAGCTGTCTCCTCTATGCCATGCAGTTCTGCTCGCCACCGAAGCAAGTCTGTGAACATGTAGCCGCGGCTGGACAAGACCTGGTCGGAGGATCAGGGAGTGCGATCGGCCCAGCCATGCTGGAGAACGCTCAGGAGCTCGGCCCCCCGTGCCAGATGGGGCGTCTGGATCTGGTAGTGCGCGCCGCCTTGTGCCGCATGGCCTGCCACTCGATCAAATTCTTCCGCGTCCAGACTCCGTGTTGCAGCGATGTCGGAAAGCTATGAAAGCATCATGCCTTGAAGAACAGGCCGTTGTGGAAGCAGGCGGCCACGTGTGCCTCCCCCCGGGGCCCCGAGGATTCCTGGCGTATTGGAAACAGGGGTGAGATTTCAGGCTCTTTCGGGCTGTCGAGTTCGCGGTTCTGATTCATTTCGTGCTATTGATCTTGTCATGTTGATTCTGGAGCGTTTGGCCTTGCTAGTTTCCAGTTCGGTTGTTGTTTCTTATTTGAATCATGTGTTTTACTGCCTGGTGTTGTTATGTCAGACGTCAGTGTCACACCGTGCGTGGCATTTTTTATACAGCTGCTGAGGAGGATACGTTTTCACACTTCTGGAACGCCCGGGTGTGTACGAGTGTTTTGGCGACCTTTTTGATTTGTCCCGCCAGTTATCCCGTCTCTCGGGTGGGTGGATCGTGCGCCCCTGTTTCCATGGGGCCGTGCTCCCAACATTAAACTTGTCTCGAATGCCTTGTTCTTAGATTTCACATTTCAGGTCATGATGATTTGCGCTTCGCGCCTCGCTATCTGCCTCAAAGAGTGGATCAGAGTCGCAGGCCTAGAGATTGACACCAACACCAATATCGGCGGCGTGCATCCACCGAGGGAAGAAGATCCCGATCTCGGTGATGGTGGTAATATTTTGGCTTCCAAGGTGACCGAAATATTACCACCAACACCGAAATCTGGGATCATCTTCCACCTGTGGAGGCAACCCCCTGTGTTGGTGTGGGTGCCCATGCCCAGGCCTCCAACAGAGGTTGGAAGATCGCGTGCGGGCTCGGCAGAAGCAGCTGCGCCGCCGAGGCGGCCCTTTGGTCGGCTTTCTGGGGTAGGACGGGAACGTCGTCGTCGTCGTTCGGCGCGTGCGTTCCTGCTCCTCCTTCTCCTCCTCCTCCTCCTCCTCCTCCTCCTCCTCCTCCTCCTCCTCCTCGCAGTCGTCGTCGTCGTCGTCGTCGTCGTCCTCGTCGTCGTCGTCGTCGTCGTCGTCGTCGTTGTTGCGCGGCGGGCGCCGCGGAGAAATGGTTATTTCCCACTATTGACGGCACCCCAGCCCGTGAGTAAGGGCGTCGAGAGGACAATTCGTTTCCATTACGAGCCGCATCGCCGATACATCGGCGACTGTTCGGCACGAACGAAAGGGATTCGGAAAGAACGGGTACGAAGACCGGCAGCAGTTCCTGTCCATTTTGAAGAGGGCCTTTTGTCGTCGCCGCCCTGTGCTGTGTCCATTTGAGACACACGGCCGCCTGCCCAACAGCAGCCGCTGTTTGTCGTTGGACAGCATTGGCTGTTGGGCATCGTGCTCATTTTTCCCGTACCCATCTCGGGGGTCCAAAATTGCCGGGGGGATATCTCTTTTTACTTACCAAACTACCCCAACCCAGCCCGAAGGTCCCAGACGCCCCGAAGTTTCAGGTTGGGGGACGTACGGGTTCCATTGTTGCTGGGGCCGGTGTTTCAGTTTCAGAAAGCTCCCCCCGCTGGAAATTGGCAGTCCCAACGGCCGCTTCGAGTTTGGATGAGTTGGCCTTTTGGGTAGCGGAAATTTCCACATAAGCATTATATTTTGGAGTTCGGCGCTGGAGCCCCCTGGCGGCGCTTCCATCACCGCCCACGGCGCGGTCCGCGCGCCAGGGAGGGGGGGCCAGTGCCGATCCACGAGATAGTTCATGCTTGTGCAATGTTTGGTTCCTTGACACTGGCGGGGGTGGGGGGACCGGACGGGGCTACTGGCTGGGCCTGTCGAGGCCATGCGGGACGACCTCGGAGGGCTAATCTTGCGCAGCCCAATCTCAGGGGGCCTGCCTGGCCCGCTCCGGGTCGGAGGGCACCGACTATACACCTACACCGATCCTGGCCAGGCCGATCCCAGGCCCAGGATGGGTATGCATATGTATGTAGATATATACGTGTGTGTATATATATATATATGTGTGTGCACTCTGCCCAGGGCAGGAGGGTGTTTATACCGACCCCTTGCCCAGGGTGATCCTTGCCAGGATCGGTGTTGGTGTATGGCTGGTGCCTTCCTGCCGGGGGCGGCACGAAGCCCCTCCGTGGCCAGGAGCTGTCGACCGCCGACGAGATCGTGTGGGTCAAAGGCAGGGCCTCGCCGCCCCGGGCGGGCGGCGTGGGAAGGGCCGCAGGACCGGGGAGTTTGGGGCGGCGTTTGGGTGGGGGGGGGGGCCGGAGGGTTTGTCTCCGGAGAGCTCAGGCAACCCATCCTCCTCCTCTCCTCCTCCTCCCTCCTCCGCCTCCTCCTCCCCCTCCGCCCTCCTCCTTCCTCCTCCTCGTCCTCCTCCTCCTCCTCCTCCTCGTCCTCCTCTCTCCGCCTCCTCCGCCTCCTCCTCCTCCTCCTCCTCCTCCCACTTCTCCCTCCTCCTCCTCCTCCCCCTCCTTCTCCTCGCCGCCCTCTCCTCCTCGGGTCGCCTACGGCCCCCGGGGAAACCGTCCACGGGGGGTGCTCGAGGAGCGAGGACCTTGGGCATGTTCGAGGTTTCTCGGCGGTTTCCAGCTTCAGGGTGCGTTCTCAAGCGGGGGGCGCACTGGGGGGGAGGCTCCGGCGGGGGGAACCTTCGGAGGTATGGCCCGGAAGTCGGGGGTAGCGCTGGTGGGGGGACTGGCTCAGGGGGGAACCCATCGACCCCCAGATAGAGGCCTGCCTCCCCCGCACTCCCCGCCCAGGAAGCTGCGGTTTTGCTAATTATCAAAAGCCGAGCGCCGATCTATCGACAATGCATCGTTGGTTTCAGGTCCCATGCCAACTCCGACATCGACGCGCCTGTTACTGCTTCTTATCCCCCCATACTGTTTCAGTGGGCGGAAGTAGGGCGCTCCAGTCCCCAATGTGGCACACTTTGCGATCACTTCGTGGACCCATGACTATCTTCATCTACCGTCTCAGTGGACGCGGACGCATGGCCTTCCAGCCCCCGGGTCGGCACACCCCTCTCTGACGCGCTTCGTGGCCCCATGGGGAGCTTCATCTATGGTCCCAGTGGCCCCTCACATGGATCTTTTTTTGACGTGCGGATTTCCATCTACGGTCTCCGTGGACGCCGACGCATTGCGCCGTCGCCCCCGTTTCGCCACGCCGATTACACGCGTCGTGGCGCCATAGAAAGCCCCCTTCCGTAGCCATTTTGGCTCAAGGCCCCGCGGCTCTCTCCGCCATGCTTCGCCCCTGGCAGCGCGAGACGGCCGAGGTTGCGGAGGAGACCGACCTGCTGCCGGGCGCCGCGGCGCCCGCGAAGAGGCACGCCGCGGCCACGCCAGCCGCGGCCGAGCCAGCCGCGGCCGAGCCAGCCGCGGCCGAGCCGGCCGCAGCTGCTGGCTGGCACTGCGCGATCGCGGCCGGTCCGTCCTGTGGCTGGTCCTGCGCGGCGGCCGTCGTCGCCCTCGTCGCCGTGTCGCTGTTTGCCAACGCTCGGTGGCCGCCGGCGGAAGCGTGGCCGCCGCCGACCGCCGCGCGGTCGCAGCCGCTGCTGCTCCCGACGACGACGGCGACGGCGACAACGACCACAACGACGACGCTGGCGCAGGGCGGCACTGCCGCGGGGGAGGGGGCTGCCGCGGACGGCGCGGGGGGCCCGCGGGAGAGCGGCGTGGTCGTGCTGCTCGCTGGCACGCTCGTGCGCTACTTCCCGAATCTGGACAGGCACGTCGTCGCGCCACTGACTCGGCAGGGCCACGCAGTGGACGTCTACCTGAGCCTTAGCGTTGAGAGTTTCACCTCCTGGAAGGGCCACGCGAACCTCTTCGTCATGCATCCCGCGTACGAGGGCAAGAGCCTGGAGGAGGTGAGGGCCATGATCGTCGGGGGGATACGCGATAACGGGGGCAGAGTGGGCATCGTCAGAATGCCAACGCAGGTGCACCTCACCTTAGAGGGACTGTCTTTCGAGGAGAAGGCACCTGGTGGACGAGTGTGGATTCGGATGACGAGCAGAATTCGCACGCCAGGACCACCAGAGCGAACGTCGCAAAGATGTACCAGGAGATCGACGAGCTCTGGGCGCTCGCGAAGGAGGCTGAGGCGAGGGCGGGCGAGAGTTACGAGTACTTGATGATCTTTCGAGACGACTCGAACTGGCTGTTTGACTTCGACCTGGGCAGGCTGCTGCGCACCGGCGGGCATGTAGTGCTCGACGGGGGCGCTGGCCGCGCGTTCGGGCAGAAGTGCGGGTCGCAGGGCACGCCCCGCCTTTGCGACTACGTGGTGGTCGCCGAGCGCAAGGTCGCCGAGCCGTTCGGCTCGTTCTACCGGCTGATCACGGACCCCGCCAGCATGGGCGTCTCACTGGACCCGAGCAGCGAGACGGTCACCGAGGGCGAGCGCTACGTGTACCAGGTGGTGCAGGCCTTCGGCATCCGATTCGAGCAGGTGCCCCCTGCCCTGATCCCATTCGAGCGGTGTGGGCGGCTGGACGTCAGTGGGTCGACCACCGTCTGCCTGCATAAGGACACCTACAACGAGGAGAATGCTGGCAATGACGGGGTGCCTTCGATGGGCGTCCACGTTCTGATCCCAGTGTGTTCGGAGCTTGCCGCGTGGGAGTGACACCAGGATGCAGCCCCCCACTTTCGCTGAACCGCACAGTAATTTGCGAGAGTTGGAGACAGCAAGGCCTAGGGCTCCATCCGAAGAGATCTGGAGTTACCGTCGGCTTGTCAACTCATTATCCCACCTGATCGGGGTCACTCGCCGTGCATGTCAAAAAACATAGAAAGCCCCTTACATCCACAGCGGCAGGGTCCGCATGACGGCGCCGGCCATCCACAACAATGATCTTGTGGGAGGGCCCGCATGGCGGCGCCGCCAAGGAGCCCTACCTACGGCCCCAATGGCAGGATCTGCATGGCGGCGCCGCATATTACGGAGCACCACCCGCGACGATTGCGACCCTTTTGGTGGGCGCGACTTGTCGTCTCAGTGGAGAAGTCCGCATGCGTACTCGGAGTTTCGGTGCACCCATCACAGTTACTCCACCAAGGGCCGCAGTGAGAAACATTGCACGCGTTTCCCAGCGCGTTTCGGCGTGCCCTCGCACATTTCGCGCTGTCTGCGGAGCTCCGAAGTCATGCGCCCCGCACCTAATTATACGCACCGTGATTTTGAGAGGGCATCTACCGACGTTACATGAAACTTCTGGGTGTTGGTCGTTCGCCAAGCAAATTCAATTTGTCGGGCGGTCTCTGGGCCCCCCTCAGGTCCCAGGACCGTCGGGTCTGTCGCGAGGCCCCGGTGCCCAGGATCTTGGCGCGGGGGGGGCGGTCTTCCAACAGTGGTGGGGGGCTTGGAGGCATTCTCCGAAGGGCTTAGGCGACCCGTCCTCCTCCTCCTCCTCCTCCTCCTCCTCCTCCTCTTCCTCCTCCTCCCTACTCTTCCTTCTCCTCCTCCTCCCCCTCCTCCTCCTCCTCCTCCTCCTCCGTAGCCATTTTGGCTCAAGCGAGTCAGGCAGCGGGAGGCCCACGCACGGCGGCGCGCGCCCAGCTCGCGCTTGGCGCGCGCATGTGGCCCATGGCGGACCCCGAGCCCGACGGCAAGCGGCGCTGGGCTGCGGCGTCGGCGCGCACGCTGGCCAGGCGGCGCCGACGCGCATGGCGCGCCGCTGTCGGCGAGTCGCGGGCGCTGGCCATCAGCAGGAGGGTTGACATTTTCAGGAGGTCGCTTGGGGCCCATTGGGCCCTAGGCGACGCGCTGGGCGGCCATGAGGCCTCGATTATGGCTGCGGTGGGAGCGGCCAAGCTCATCGGCCTGGACGAGCTCGCGGCGCTGGCCGAGGAGCTCGGCATCTCGGCCAACTGGGCTCGGCACGCTGCACCGCCTGGCCTGGCGCGGCTCCGCAAGGTTCCCTCGGGGATCGCGGCGACGGAGCTGGAGAAGTTCCGCGCCCGACTCCACTCCCCCGAGTTCGTGGTGGTCACCTCGCTGATGGCGGAGGCGCGCCCGTCGCAGTGCGACGACGGGGACGAGTTGGAGTCGGAGAGGCAGCATGAGCAGGCCGTTCAGACGGCGCTGGCGTCCACCAGCGGCAGCGCCGGCGAGGGCTTGGAGGTGGCAGCAACGGCTTCCGAGGTCGAGGAGGGCGTCGCCCCCAGCTGCCCCGACTACCAGCATGAGCGCGGCAATGAGCAGGAGTACGAGGATCTGACGATGCGCCCCGACGTGGTCGATGCCGTGGTGGATGGCGACCCCAGGGGCGAGGACATCGGCCTGCTGGATGCCGTGCTGGATGTGCCCGCTGGCGGCCTGAGCATCGGGACTGGCCCCGCTGGCGAGAGTCTGAAGGAGGAGCCGTGCGTGTTCGACGTCACGGACGAGGAGCCGATGGACCCTGCGGTGCTCGTGCCCGTGCGCGCGATGGAGCGCGCCGTCCCGCGGGCAGCCCCTGGTGTTCCGCCGAGGGGCTTGGTCGAGCAGTGGGGCCACGTCGGCAAAAATACGGAGCCAGCTGGCAGCCCGTGCGATCGTTGGGCAGCCCTGGCTGGCGATGAGGACGACGGCGTCGGAGAGTACGACGCCAACCCCGTCCATTTCGGCGGCACGGTCCATGCGTGTGCGCCCATCGCACGGTCCCCCGTTGTACACGCCCCTGACGAGAAGTCGATTGGTGTGAGAGGCAGCGGCGGTCTGTGAGCGGCGCGAGGCGCAGCTGTGCTGGCAGCGGCGTCACCGCTCGGCCGCTCCCTGAGTGGCATCCCGTTCGTCGCGATGCTGCTGGGCGCGTGCTTCGTGGTCGACGTCGCGGCTGGGCGGGGGAGGAGCTCCCACAGGCTCGTGTCCTGTGGGCCTCCCCCGAGGCCAAAAGACGCAACTCTTTGTTGCTCCGCTTGAGTCCCGCTTGAGTCCTCCTCCTCCTCCTCCTCCTCCTCCTCCCCCTCCTCCTCCCTCCTCCTCTCCTCCTCCTCCATCTCCTCCTCCCCCTTTTCCTCCTCCTCCATCTCCTCCTCCCCCTCTTCCTCCTCCTCCTCCTCCTCCTCCTCCTCCTCCTCCATCTCCTCCTCCCCCTCTTCCTCCTCGGGTCGCCTACGGCCCCGGGGGAAACCGCGCAGAACTATTCCAAAATAGTCCAACAATAGTTTTGGGGCGATATCTTGACTAGTTTGGATTATGTGCTGTTTTCTTTTGATTATGGTTGCCCTACTGTTCGTCCAAAACCCGCCTGTAGGGGGACATGCCCGACAGTCCTTCGCGGCGCCACCTTGAGCGCGCCGCCAAGAGGAAAGAAGTGTTGAAGCTTCGTGTATCCGCACCAGCCCATCCAGAAACGATGCCCAGGGGAGTTGAGGTAATCAGGGAAGCGGGGGAACGTGCAGATTAATCAAGGGCTGGGGAAGCTGTCATATACCTCAAGAGGGGGAGATGGAGGAGGACTCGTCGTCGTCGTCGGAGGAGGAGGATAACGAGGAGGAGGATATGGAGTAGGGCGAGGACGAGGAGGGCAAGAAGGAGGAGAAGGAGCAGAGGGAGGAGAAGGAGGAAAAGGAGGAGAAGGCGGCGGCGGAGGAGGAGGAGGAAGGAGGAGGAAGAGGTGGATGAGGGAGAGGAGGAGGACGGCGAAGCGAAGAGCCTGGAGCCGGCGAGCCGAAGAACCAGGAGGAGAACGGCGAACCGAATGCCTGTAGGAGATCCTCTTGAGGCTTTTTGCGGGTCTCTTGGGAGCCTCGGAGAGGCTTGGTGGGCGCCTCTTGGGGCCCTGTTGAGGCGCTCTTGGCTTCAGGGGCGCTCTTGGGGCCATCTTAGAGGAAATCGATCAAAGAAGGGAGGGGGCACTAATTAGGCCCCCCTTGACAGCCCCACACATCGCCTCTTGGACCCCTTCTGGAGCGCTCGTGGAGCGCGCTTGGGCGCTCTTGGGGCCGTCTTGGGGCTCTTCTGGGCCTCTCTTGGGGCTCTCTTGGGCCATCTTGGTGCCATCTTAAGGCCTCGGCTGGGCATCGGAAACGAAAAGGCGAGAAAGCAACACACATTGATTTGTCTTAGGTTTTGGAAGGATTTTGGCCTCGTCGGGGCCTCGTTGGTGAGCTTTTTGGCCACTTGGAGCCGTCTTGGGGCGGTCTTGGGGCCTCTTGGAACATCTTGGGAACCATCTTGAGCGATCTTGCGTTATCTTGAGCCATCTTGGAAGCGATCTTGCGCTCTCTGAGGCGCTCTTGGAGCCATCTTGGGCCATCTTGGACGCTCTGACCGCTCGCCGCGGCCCCCGTCCAGGCCCAGGGGAGGGGGTAGGGGAAGGGGGCAAGTTACCCCCTCCCCGCCCGCAAGCCGTCTCGCTCACTCCCACCCGCCTTCCCAACACATACGTAACATTCGAGCCTGGCCCGAGTTGCAGCATATTCAGCAGTCGTCTTTGGATGGGCAGCTACTGGGGGCCAATCCGCCGCCGCCGCCGCCGCCGCCGCCGCCGCCGCCGCCGCCGCCGCCCGCCGCCGCCGCCCCCGCCGCGCCCCGCCGGCCGCCGCCGGCCGCCGCCGCCGCCGCCGCCGCCGCTGCCGCCCGCCGCCGCCGCCGCCGCCGCCGCCGCCCCCCGCTGCCTAACCGCCGCCCGCCGCCCCGCGCGCCGCCCGCCGCCCGCCCCCCCGCCGCCGCCACCGCCGCCGCTGCCGCAGTCGCCGCAGCCGCCGCCGCCGCCGCCGCCGCAGCCGCCGCAGCCGCCGCCGCCGCCAAGTGTACGTATTGGTTTTTGACAGGGATGGCGGCGGGGGGCCGCATCGGATTGGCTGCGCATGTTCCGAATTTGGAGGCAACGTGTGTTTTATACTGTTTTTTACAAGGGATGGCGGGGGGAGGGTCGGCATGGACTCAGGTTGGCCCCCAGTCGCCTGGGGGAGGGGGTGTTTATTGATAGGGAACAGTGATCAAGACCCCCTCCCCGCCCGCAAGCCGTCTCGCTCACTCCCACCCGCCTTCCCAACACATACGTAACATTCGAGCCTGGCCCGAGTTGCAGCATATTCAGCAGTCGTCTTTGGATGGGCAGCTACTGGGGGCGAGTACGCCGCCGCCTCCGCTTCCGCCGCCGCCGCGCGCCGCCGCCGCCGCCGCCGCGCCGCCGCCGCCGTTCGCGCCGTTCGCCCCGCCGCGCCCGCCGCCGCGCCGCCGCCGCCGCCGCCGCCGCCGCCGCCGCCGCCGCCGCGCCGCCGCCGCCGTAGCCCCCGCTTGCGAATCGCCGCAGCCGCAGCCGCTGCCGCCGCAGCCGTTGCCGCCACCGCTGCCGGCCGCCGCGCCGCCACCGCCGCTCCGCCGCCGCCGCCGCCGCCCCCGCCGCCGCCGCCGCCACCGCTGCAGCCGCCGCAGCCGCTGCGCCCGCCGCGCGCCGCGCCGCCGCCGCCGCCGCCAAGTGTATTTTATTGTTTTTGTGACAGGGATGGTGGGGGGGCCGCATCGGGTTGAAGCCACATTCGTTGATCTGGGGCCTCCTGTCAACTGATTCGGAGCCTCCAGCAGGGCTTCTTAGCAGTGCGTAGCAGGGCTTAGCGGGGCTTAGCAGGGCTGAGCAGGGCTGATCAGAAGAGCGGGGCCACGTGGGGCACATGCACGAACGCCTCCCTCCCCCCATCCTCCCTCCTCCTGGCATCATCCCTCCCCCCATCTTCCCTCCCACCCCCCATCCCTCCCCCCATCCTCCCTCCCTCCCCCCATCCTCTCTCCCCATCCTCCCTCCCTCCCCCCATCCTCACTTTAGTTTACATGCCAACATTGCCGCTCGTCGGTTGTGGGTATATATATCTATATTATATATATATATATATATATATATATGGCAATGCGTGCATGTGAATCTTTTCTGAGAGTGCCTTGAGGACAGGGGGCCGCGCGTCACAGCACGCCCGCTACCGATTGTGCTCAAGCTGACACCGGCGCGGGCGCGCCGGGAGACGCATCCCCCGCTTCCCATGGCCTGGCTGTTTGGCCAGCGGTACCTGGACTGGCTCGTCGGCACCGTCTCGCAGACGGTCGTGAGCTGGTCGGCCCGCTGCCCGGCGTGCCCCGCCTGCCCGCAGCCGCCGGCGTGCCCAGCCTGCCCAGCGGCGGCGCCGATCCACTTCCACCCGCCGGCCGCCTGCCCGGCGGCTCCAGAGGCGCCGGCACCCGCGCCCGCGCCCCAGCCGGTCGCCCAGGAGCCTGAGGGCCTCTCCTGGACGGGCGGGTGGCTGGCCTGCTTCCTGGTCGCCGTCAACCTGTTGGTCCTCAGCTTCCACGTGGTGAGGCAGGTCGGCTCGGCCGTGGTGAGGCTGCGGCCAGCTCCGACGCCCGCCGCCCTGAAGGATGGCGCAGGAGCAGGCGCCGCCGGGGGTGCGACGGTGGGCGTGGGCGCAGTACGCCGGCGCGCCGCTGTGGCATCAGCGGCGCGTGTGGGGCCGGGTGATTCAGGATCCGACTGATGCCCGCTGGTCCCCCCTACGGGTGCTGATCTCGACGCCGGATGGCGACGTATACGAAGAGCTGTACGACATGTCAGATGGGACTTTGGCTGCGGTTCGCTTCGAGGACGACCGGCGCACCCGCCCTGCTGGCCTGGAGGTTGGGAACCTCTACCGCTTCCGGCGCGCGCTGACGGCGGCCGAGGAGGTGGCCATCAGGAACGAGGTGGACGCCTACGCCCGCGACGTGTTCCTCGACGCGGAGCGAGCGGCCGGGCGGCCCAGGGTGGTGCCACCGGCGGGCGCTGCCGTCTACTTCACGTTCGCGGCCGCGGCTGGTGGCGCGGTCGCGCCTGGGCCCGCTCCCGCCGCCCCTGCCGCCGGGGGAGGGGCGGCTGTGGCCGCCGCGCTGGCTGTGGTGCCGGCTGGCCCCGCCGCGCCCGCAGCTGGACCGCCTGCTGGTGCCGCCCCAGTTGCGGCTGCAGCCGCACCGCTCGCCGCTGCTGGGGCTCCCGCAGGCCCCTTGGGGCCGAATGCCGTGCCTGGGGCTGACGGACAGTGGGTCTACGTCGAGACCACGACGACGGCCCGGCGCGGGGACCCTGTCACGTTGGACGGGACGGAGCTCGTCCGGGGGGCTATCGGCCTGAAGCAGGACGCTGGCGGGAGCTGGTCGGCCATCCGGCTGATCACGACCTCGCAGGTCGCCTACCGAGGCGCCGAGGCCCTCGCTGACGCCCGCCTCCAGCCTGTGGCCCTGCTTAGTGACGGCTCGCGGCAGCGCATGCAGTTCCACGAGAGTGTCGACAGGCTCCGCGAGGAGCCCTTCCCCGACTGGCCGCTGGACGGCCCAAGGACCACGCTATGGTGCCTCCGCTTCTTGGACAGGAAGCGCGGAGGGGCCATCGAGCATTTCCACCAGTTCGTGTCCTACTACCGGCTGTCTCGCGATGACTTCGGGGTGACGCACTACGAGTCCATCATGCGGATGGTCGACTATCTGATGACGTGGGACCTCCTCGACTTGCCCAATGTGGTGGGCGTCGAGGTCATGCTGCGGCAGGCGCAGCTGTACGAGTACATGTACGCTATGGAGTACGAGGCGCGCGACTCGGGCGTCTCAACTGCTGCTTCGGCCGAAGGCGAGCCCAAGGCGAAGGCAAAGGGCAAGCCCAAGAGCCGGGGCGGCGGTGGCTTCTTGAAGTTCGGTTTCGTGGATGAGGCGGGGGTCTTCACGGGCACGGCCCGCGAGGACGGCCGCATGATGGTAGCTCCGGCACTACTGGAGCACGTGGCCAAACAAGTGGAGCGCGACGCTGGTATCCTTAAGCAGATCAGGAAGGCTAAGGAAGAGCGCCGCGCTCTGGCTCCATGATGGAGCGGGGCCTGGAGGCGGACTCCCCGACCGCCTTCAGCGACTCTCGAGGGGGCTTCGCGGATATGGCCTCCCGCGCTGCAGATGTACATGAGGCCCAGCCAGCTCGTCAGCGACGGCATCGGGATCTCTTTCCGCTCCTTGAGCCCGCCTGTGGTGAGCGCAGTTTTGTGGCTACAGACCTCTCTCGCACAACTAAGAGGCGACTCCACAGGACCAGTCACCGCCGCGAGATGGTCGTCGACGCCATCCGCGCCATGAATGAGATGTACACTGGTTCGAGCTGTCCGCGGCCTACCGGCCTCACTGGCCCTGCGACCGCCCAGCAGGAGGCTCTGGCGGTGATCCAGGAGGCCGTCGACGCCTTCGGAGTGCCCCCGCCCGACCTCACTCCCGCAGGAGCCCTTGAGGAGCTCCGCGTCGCGCAGTCATACGACCAGGAGTCTGCCGTGATTGCGCCGGTGACCTTCGACCGCGTCGATCTGATCTCCCTGCCGAGCGTGGGCTCCGAACCGAAGTCCTTGTCCGCACTCATCGGGGATGACAGCATGAGTATTGGTCACCGCCTTCAAGAACTACTTTTGCCCCGTGAGCGGGGGCTTGCCCGGGTCGCGGAGCACGCTCCGAAGAGGGCGTATTCGGATCCCAACTTGAGGAACCCTCGCTTATATAAGAAAGTATTGCACCGTCTTGTGTCATCGCACCTCGTTGAGTTTCATACCGATGCGTTGAGCTCAGTGGGAATGTTCTTCGTCTATAAGAAATCAGGGGCCCTGAGGCTCATGCTGGATGGGCGGATCCCGTCTCAGTTGTTCGACGAGCCCCCCAAAGTGAAGCTGGCAACTGGGGCCGCGTTCTCTCAGCTCCGGGTTGACAGTCGGGAGCCTGTGTGTGTCGCTGGTGTGGACATCGCGGACGCCTTCTATACCATGTTGCTCCCACCTTGGCTTCGTCGGTACTTCGGTCTCCCTAAGATCAGAGCTGGTGAACTGGGGATCTCGGTCGATGCGAATGGAAGGCCCGTGGCGCCTACGCAGTGGGTCTATCCGTGCTTCAGGTGTCCTCCGATGGGATTCAGTCTCAGTCTTTGGTTGTGCCAGTCAGTGAATGAGATTGTCTCGCGGCGTGCTGGCCTCGTCAGGCCGGAGCGTGTCCTGGTGGATCGCCTGCCTGCCCCTGTCGTCGACTCGGGCGTTGTTCATACCGAATACGTCGACAACTTCGTTGCGCTGTCGCTATTGCTGCTGCCCGTCAGGTCGATCATCATATGCGTGCTGTGGGGCTGCCTACTCACGGGGTGGAGAGCGGAGTGGGCGGGGAGACTCTTGGCTGGTCCTTCGACTCGAACTCGCCCGTGATCTCGCTCAACCCCAGGCTTAGGTGGAAGCTGTACCTTGGGATTCAGGAGGTCCTCCGACGTGGGTTCTGTTCTGGAAAGGAGATGGTGAGGATCGTCTCGCACATCACGTCCAGGGTGCTCATTAGGAGGGAGCTCCTCTCGTGCCTGGGGGCCGTCTACAAGTTTGGGGAGGTATACCACAATCGCACCGCTAAGCTCTGGCCCGTCGTCCGTCGTGAACTACGCTGGGCTCGGGCTCTCCTCATCTTCTGCAGCAGGGACCTCGGGTTGCCCTTCGACACCACCCTCACGTGCCTGGATGCGTCGTCTTGGGGTTTTGGAGTTACCCAGCGGGAGGTCTCTGAGGACTCGGTCAAGCGTCTGGCCCGGTACAACGAGCGTTGGAGGTTCTCTCGGGAAGCTGAGCGCCAACGTCTTGGGCCCCGAGCCGCTGCTGTCCCTGGTCAAGGCTCCTCAGGAACCGTCCCGGACGGGCCCGAAGTCTCCGACGTGGACCCTAGCTTCGAGGAGGTCCCGCCCGACATCTGGAGGGACCACTGGCACCCGGTCCTCTCGGTGCCCTGGCGGCGCCCAGCCCCTCAGGTCATCCTGGAGGCCAGGTCCGGCGTGATGGCGCTTAAGCACAAGCTTCGCTCCAAGAGGTCCTTTCGGAAGGCCCACGTAATGCTGAATGATGCCATGGCTCCCATCTTGGCTCTGGCAAAGGGGCGGTCTTCGGCGCCCGCCCTCCTCGCCGTCTGCCGGCAGGTGGCATGTCTGCTGCTGGCCTCAGGCTCGGCGGCGCACTGGAGGTGGCTGCCGTCCGAGTTCAACTCCGCCGACCCAGCATCACGGAACCGGCCTGGTGCTAGGCCCGAGGCGTGGTATGCTCCAGCGGTCGTCGCCCCAGGGAGCGTCTGCTGCCAGCCCGTCGGGCGTCCTTCGCAGGCGGCCCGCGGCGGCTCCAGCAGCCCCAGCGCCCGCCCACCTTGGGCGCCGGAGCCGCTCCCAGAGCGCAGCTGCGCTGTCCTGGGGGGATCAGGCGGACCGCCGAGTTGCCAGGAGGCGCGCCTTCCCCGCCGCCAACACGGCGGCGACCTCGGGCTCGCTGACCTTCCTGGAGACGCAGGCCGTGGGGGAGGCGACCCGCCGGGACTATGCCGACAGGGTCTCGAAGTTCACGGGGTGGGCGACCTCGGTCCGGCTGCCGATCGGGGAGGTGCCCGAGCTGGACGTCGCACTGGTGACCTTCTTCAACCAGCTGTTCTTCGACGGCTACCCGAGCGAGGAGGCGACGAAGTACATGGCGGCACTGGCTCATTGCCGCGCGGCGCCCGGCCGGCTGCAGGTGGCCTTCCCGAGGGCCGCTCGTGCTGCGAAGGGCTGGGCTCGGCTGGTACCGCCACGATCCCGGCTGCCGCTGCCCTGGCCGATTGCCTGCCTGATGATCGACTGGATGCTGGATGCAGGCGAGACGACAGCGGCGGCGGCGACGGCGGTCTGCTTCGCGCTGTACCTTCGGCCGGCAGAGCTGCTCAGCCTGACGCGCGAGCAGGTGATCCCGCCTGCCGAGGGCGCCCCTCCGGGGCGCACCTTCCTGAACTTCTGGTCGGTGGTCCTGCGTCCGATGGAGTGCGCTCAGCCCTCGAAGACGGGAGTCTACGACGAGGGCCTCCTTCTGGACAGCCCGGAGTTCACCTGGCTGCCACCGCTGCTGCAGGCGCTGCGGGCCCGAGCCGCGCCAGGCGGCCTCGTCTTCGACATGAGCTACAACCAGTGGGCCCTGGTCTTCAGGCGTGCTGCGACAGCGCTGCACCTCGGCGTCCTGGGGCCGCCGTCGCTCTGCACCCTCCGACACGGGGGGGCCTCCCACGAGTACCTCGCAAAGTTCAGAAGCCTCGACGAGATCAAAAAGAGGGGGAGGTGGGTGTCGGACTCGTCCCTACGGCGCTACACCAAAGGGGGCCGCGTGGCAGAGCAGATGCGACGGCTTCCGATCTCCGAGCAGCGCCGCGCCACACGCCTGGTCGACACCATTGGCGGGCGCCTCTCCAACATCTGGCTCGGTCTGTAGAGGACGCCGGTCAACCCGTGTTCCTAGAAGTGTTCAGCGGGTCAGGGCGCCTCTCTCTGGCGTGGCGGCGAGTCTCCCGCGGCCGCCTGGCCGCCTTTGAGCTGGACCTCAAGCATGACCCAGCTTCAGACCTTCTGCAGCGCCGAGTTCAGCAGCTTGTTCGCGGATGGCTTCGGTCAGGCCTTGTGGCAGCTGTTTGGTTGGGCACGCCTTGTCAGTCGATGTCGCTCGCGCGCAACCGACCAAATGGCCCCCCTCCGCTCAGAAGCAGCTCGCACCCTCAGGGCCTCCCTGGATTGTCGCCCAATGATGCTCTGAAAGTTTTGCAAGGCAATAGGCTCTGTGCGTTCAGTTTTAGTCTTTTTGAGTTAGCGCTGTCCCTTGGGATCCCTGTTGGCCTGGAAAACCCGGGGTCCTCCTGGCTCTGGAAACAACCTGTGGCTGAAAGAGTCTCGAAGCGGTCCGGGGTCCAGCGCTTAACCGTGGACTTCTGCGCTTTCGGCACTCCGTGGCGAAAACGCACTGCAATCCTTTATGCTAATGCTGACCTGTCAAGTCTGCGTCCATTCAAGTGCTGTGGTAGAGGTATTTGCTCGTTCTCAGGTAAGTCGCACATCGAACTCGCCGGTAAAGATAATGCCGGCCGTTTTCTCACGGCTATCGCCGAACCGTACCCAAGTGACCTGTGTGTACATATTGCTCGTGCGTTTCTCAATGCACATCGTAACCATGTGTTTCGGGGGATGTGTTCTAAAGTGGCCCCTCGCCTTTAAGTCGAGTCTCCAGACATATGGTTTCGGAGTTCTCCGATTTTGTGGTGTTGTGCTGACTGCCGTCGGTCTCGAGGACTGGCGCCTGATGGCATCCTCTCGTCTAGAGCTCTGGGCACCAGTAAGCACACAGATCAAACCTTCGGTCTGGCCACTGAGGAAAATGAGCTCCTCGGAGGAACAGATGGCAATGCGTGCATGTGAATATTTTCTGAGAGTGCCTTGAGGACAGGGGGCCGCGCGTCACAGCACGCCCGCTACCGATTGTGCTCAAGCTCCCCCCCGAGCCCACCCGCGGAGCAAAATCTACGCGAGGTGTTGTGCTGACTGCCGTCGGTCTCGAGGACTGGCGCCTGATGGCATCCTCTCGTCTAGAGCTCTGGGCACCAGTAAGCACACAGATCAAACCTTCGGTCTGGCCACTGAGGAAAATGAGCTCCTCGGAGGAACATATATATATATATATATATATATATATATATATATACGTGCTCGACGGAGCCTTCCAATTTTGTAAATGGCAGTGGCCGTGGTTGTGAACCCACGAACAGCCATAACATTTTAGTTTTTAGTGTGGGTGGTGTTCCCATCGCCTGAAACCACAAAGTCCTCAGTTGAGGTCATTGCAATGCCAATGAGCGCAGTGCTCTTCAGCCAGAAAGATATCCAGCAGCTTGCGGCAAAAAAAAAAAAACACATGCGGATATGTGGAACAAGAGGCCGACGACGACGACGACGACGACGACGACGATAGCCTGGGAGACCATCTAGAAGACGTGAGCAAACGCCCACGAGTCCTCCAACATACAACCATATATATAGAGAGATATATCGTTTCCTCTCTCTCTCTCTCTCTCTCTCTCTCTCTCTCTCTCTCTCTCCAGGCACCGAAAGGGCTGGACGACCCCCGAGGAGGAGGGAGGGGGGAGGAGGAGACGACGACGACGACGACGACGACGACGACGACGACGACGACAGCCCCCGACCCCTCCCGGAGTCCAAACGCACCAGTTTCCTGAGTCGCGTCCAGCCGCGGTGACGAGGAGGGCCTCCTCCTCTTTCTTCTCCTCCTCCTCCTCCTCCTCCTCCTCCTCCTCTTCCTCCTCCTCCTCCCACTCCTCTTCCTTTTCCCACTCCTCCTCCTCCTCCTCCTCCTCCTCCTCATACATCATACATCATTCATCATACATTTTGGTCGCCTTCATTCGCTATCCTCGTCGATTCCCCTCCTCCCACAGGACTCTGGCAAAGAGGCACTCTCACTCACATGGCAAAGAAGTCTCTTATGGCCGCCATGGCGGCAATATGTCAGAGCATGCTGCCAATTCGCAACACGCGTGACTGCACTGTAGCATTACTGCTGGCTCGTATGGCCAGCATCCTGCTCGAGATCGCTGGAAGCTGAGATGTGCTGATTGTGTGGCTGCAAACTGCCAGTGCTGGCTGACGTGCCTAGGGTATTGCCTCCTCGCCGACGGTGCGAATTTCCCCTGGGGCACAAGCTGTTCACCACACTCTCGACCTTATGACCTGTTGCCTTCACTTCGGCCAGCATCTCAGCCTGCACCTTCATTTGCGCCAGCATCTCACCCTGCATCTTGTGCATCTCAGCCTGGATCGACGTCATCACCTTCATCAGCTCCTCCTGTGTACGCAGGATGCCATGGAGGGCATTCTCATGCTCATGAAGGGCATCTGCGAGCAGCTTCCTGTACTCCAAGGTCTCCAAGTGCTCTGTGTGAGCGCGCTCTGCAAGTACCTGATCTCCGAGCAGCTTCTTGTTCTCCAAGGTGTCCAGAAGTGCTTGAATTTGATCGCTGACGATCGTCTTCATGATGTTCTCGATGGCCTCGTTGTCGGAGTCGTTTGCTGCTAGGTTCACGTAGTTAGTCGCAACGGCGCCCCCCTGCTGCGAGGGCTCGACGTCGTCCGGTCTTGTGCCAGCCGCCCCCGCCGCCCTTGTTGTGAAGGCTTGGCCGCTGATGTGTTGCTGCCCCTGGCCATCGTCACCACCAGGGCTGTCCCTCCAATAAAGGTCGTTGACCTCCCTGCTTTCGAAGTCGGCGCCAGCGCAATGCGGCCTCTGCGTGGAGCCCGCATCAGTGCATCCAAAGCACCAGTACCACACCTTCCTGTTGTGTTGTGGTTTTGACAAATGTTGGGGAGCTTGGAGACGACACTTGCAAGGTACGCACCAGAACCCACCATTTTGCATCACAATATACGGTGAATTTACACGCTGTCCGTCCACAATCATCGTCTCTGGCCAATGCGTCATGGCGCCCCTCCTGCACAACCAAATGTATGTGTGTGGGCGCGCACGGTGCACTTCTAGCGCCAAAACGGCTATGGGTGAGGTGAAGGAAGAAGAGGGGAAGACGTGCACGCATTTACTTTGCCAGCCTTGTCGCCGCAGCTGGACGTGGCTCGGAAAACTGGTGCGTTTGGACCCTGGGAGGGGTCTGCTGGGGACCCGTTTTGAGCGGATTTGGGGCCCAGGGTGGCCCTCATGCTCCCAAGGCAGAAGAGGAGAATTTCGAACGACGACGACGACGACGACGACGACGACGACCTCCTCCCCGTCCTTCCTTGTCCCCTTTTTTTCCAGGGTTGCGCTCTCATCAAGGTGCCTGTTGGCGATTCGCATCTATATGCACATATAGTCCAGATCTTATGCTGGCGATTCGCATCTAGATTCGCCGTTCCCACATGTGACCATGTTTGCCAATATCTCTATCGACATGTGACCATGTTTGCCAATATCTCTAGCGACATGTGACCATGTTCGCCGTGCCCCCATGTGACCATGCTGGCGATTCGCATCTAGAAGTAATTAATTCTCGGGCGGTACCCACATGTGACCATACTTGCCAATATCCCTAATACAGTATTCACCGAATGAACTCCAATACTTATCTGTATTTCTCATCCTGGCAATCATTTTGCATTCCAGGCAGAACATCATCCTGTATGTGACGTCGCCAATGGAAATGTAGGCAACGGTAGAGGTCAAGTTGTCTGTCTTTGCTATCGGTACTCCTGGCACTGGGGACCACGTTATCTGCATCCATCGTCTCATTCGGGGGCATTTGTTCGCCCATTCATCGATCTCATCTAAGGTCCACGTGTCCATGTCGTCGGTTCGAGGCTTTTTCCTCCGAGCTTGATTCTGCATCCAGGACTCGTGCTCTGCATAATCGCGCTGCCATTGCACGCGTGTCATTGTCGAAGAGCTTGCCACTGCCAGTTCCCACGAGCTTGCCATCGCAAGTCTGTCCTTAAGATGCGCTTCGTTAAACGGGAATGATAGGCTTGCCAAGCAAAATGGGCAACGGATTGCAGGCAATGAGGTCGGCGGCATGCCCCCCCAACAGGCCCTCAGAGAGCCCAAGAGCGCCCCGGCAGTCACGAGCATAGCCCCGAGAGGCGTCGTCGTCGTCGTCGTCGTCGTCGTCGACCTTCGGACAGGTGCGGGTGCGTGTGGCACGAGGAGTGAGGGTGAAGGGTGAAGAGTGAGGAATGAGGGGTGAGGAGTGAGGAGTAAGGCTGAGGGGTGAGGGTGAGGGGTGAGGCTGAGGGGCGAGGGAGGAGCGAGGGCGAGGCTGAGGAGTGAGGGTGAGGAGTGAGGCTGAGGGGCGAGGGAGGAGTGAGGCTGAGGAGTGAGGATGAGGCTGAGGAGTAAGCTGAGGGGTGAGGATGAGGCTGAGGAGTGAGGCTGAGGGGCGAGGCTGAGGGGCGAGGGAGGAGTGAGGCTGAGGTGCGAGGAAGAGGAAGAGGAGGCTGAGGAGTGAGGCTTTTCAACAACGACGACGACGATGACGACGACGACCCCCCCCTCATGGCTGGCCTGCCCACCCAGTGGGGGGCTAGCGGCTGCGGGCGCCACTGCGGGCCCCGAGGCGCGCCGGGGGGGGGGGATGGGGGCAGGCAGGGGGGGAAGGATGGAGGCAGGAAAGGGGAATGAGTTTTTTTCTTTCATTGCGTAGCTAGTAGCACAAGAAGCACACATGGTGGAGTTGCTCAACACCAGCAGCCCTATCGGCTAGCAGATTTCGCGAAAGAATCCGACAGCCTCCCCAACTGGGGCTCGGCCAGTGTGCAAACTCCTCCCGTGGGCTGATAGCAGTGCACTTAAATGCTGCTCTACTTCTGGGCAAGGTGCGTCTTGTAGAATGTAGAGAGGAGGTGAGGAGTTGAAGTGCTTCTGACCCTGTGAATATGTATTGCATT